TTATGGCTGAGATGAATTGACTCCCTTGGAAATGAAAAATAAGACTTTTGATTGATTTTCCTGGACCCAAAAATTGAGATTTCAGAAAAAATTGAAGCGCTATTCACTTTCAGACGGCAAGAAGTATCAGGCAAATTTTAGAAAAATGGAATGGGTCCAATTATATCGGACAGGCTACCAACAGATGCCTATTCACGGGTGCGATCCCACTACTGCGCGACACGGGGACTTTTGCCTGCTGCGTTTCCGCCCTGGGCCGATTCGTCCCTCCTTAGACAACCTGGTAACTCTCGGCTCCCCGAGTGAGACCATATTGATGCCGGGCTTAGCGCGGACACCCGATCGACATAGCGCACCTGAGAGCAGAACCCCCGCCCTCAAACCGTTCTCCACACCAAGCCTCCAAGTAGCTGGATTACAGGAGCACGCCACAACTCCCAGCGATTACTATGATGGATTTCAAGTGGGTCTCTCTCCCAACAGTCCTCGCAAATACGACTGAGAGGATTTGGCGGTAATCAAAACGAGAGTAGAATCCTGCCTAAAGAAAAAGTCCGCCTGGACCGGAAACGGCCACTTTCGGCATTATCTGTCCGCAATCAAATCACTGGATAATGCCCATGAGCTGACAGAAATGGCCAACTCAGACACTGAGGATCCGAATCTCGGCCGAAAACAAACACAGTCGCCATACCCCAAGACGGAAGGATGCAAAGGGTTTCTGCAAATAACTGCCACTACGTTCCTATACAATCAAGTTTTGCAGAAACTAGCAGCCAGCCGCTTGTAAGCCGAAATAAAGGGCTGGGTTGACTAAACTGCTTAATTGTGGTCCGTTTTTATGGCTGAGATGAATTGACTCCCTTGGAAATGAAAAATAAGACTTTTGATTGATTTTCCTGGACCCAAAAATTGAGATTTCAGAAAAAATTGAAGCGCTATTCACTTTCAGACGGCAAGAAGTATCAGGCAAATTTTAGAAAAATGGAATGGGTCCAATTATATCGGACAGGCTACCAACAGATGCCTATTCACGGGTGCGATCCCACTACTGCGCGACACGGGGACTTTTGCCTGCTGCGTTTCCGCCCTGGGCCGATTCGTCCCTCCTTAGACAACCTGGTAACTCTCGGCTCCCCGAGTGAGACCATATTGATGCCGGGCTTAGCGCGGACACCCGATCGACATAGCGCACCTGAGAGCAGAACCCCCGCCCTCAAACCGTTCTCCACACCAAGCCTCCAAGTAGCTGGATTACAGGAGCACGCCACAACTCCCAGCGATTACTATGATTTCAAGCGGGTCTCTCTCCCAACAGTCCTCGCAAATACGACTGAGAGGATTTGGCGGTAATCAAAACGAGAGTAGAACCCTGCCTAAAGAAAAAGTCCGCCTGTTCCGGAAACGGCCACTTTCGGCATTATCTGTCCGCAATGAAATCTCTGGATAATGCCCATGAGGTGACAGAAATGGCCAACTCAGACACTGAAGATCCGAATCTCGGCCGAAAACAAACACAGTCGCCATACCCCAAGACGGAAGGATGCAAAGGGTTTCTGCAAATAACTGCCACTACATTCTTATACAATCTTTCCCGGAAATCCCTACGCAATGGCTGAGTTGCCGCTAAAATCTCGGCAATAAAATCAGACCGCATTGAAACACTTTAGATAAATCGAATTCGATGGAGCAATGACGATTGGAGTTACATTTAGATTCGGGGTGCGGCCCGTCGACACCGAGATGCCAAACACTTTAACAGAACGTTCATTTTTTCGGTTTTTCCGAAGACACTGCAAATTAACCAATCTTGGTTAAACTGAACTGGGTTTAATTCTCACTTGCCGGGGACCAGTCCCGGTGGACTCTAACGACGGAACTGAGCAAAAGGTGGGAATTTCGTGAAAAAAAAAAACCCTAAAGATAATAGATCTTTAATAACAAGTTTAATTGTATCACACAACATGAAAAAATAATGCTACAAAAAAATTGTGAAAAATGGAAATGGAGTTTTACGTCTTCTTTTTCTTAACAATATTTTGACAATGAAGACGAATGTTCAATTTAGGAAATTTGTTTAAGAATGTGCATTAGTAACAGTTATTTTCTGTTAGTTAATATTTAGGTGGAGGCCTAAGACGGCACCTTGTCAAAATAACTGTCCATGTCTTACTCCAGCTAAAAAAAAACTTTTATAGATGGGTTCCCTTATTTTCATTTTATGAAAATGCTAATACTTATATGAATAGAAAGTAGAGGTGTTCTTATGACTTGGAAAAATACCAGTTTGTCATTCAGTGACCATAATTCATTCATAATTAGCTAAATTAGAAGAGAATTACCAGCAGAATTAAGGAAACCCATCTTTAATGTTAAATTAATTCTCACTTAAATAGGCCTATAGTTCATCATTCAATTTTTCTTTGTTGGGCTTAAAATTTGTTACAATGGAAATTGTAGAAGCTTAAGTCTACACAGAAATTTTAATATGAGCTCTTTGTGTCAAATATTTAATCTAAGTTCATATCACATTAGTAATGTTAGGCCCTATAATGTTTAAAATTTGTTCAAAAATTTGAGGCTTGCACATATGGATTTTTGTTACAATTTCTCACAAGAAGTTTCAATACACAGTGACCAAGATATCAAAGGAATCTTTCATAAGAATTCGTTCAAAAACAATTTGTAAATTTGACAAACAAAAATAAAATGGATATATTTAGAAAATATAAAGCAGGAACACTAGATAGGCCTACTATCTCTATTTCAGGTCTGAACACTGTTTCAAAGTAAATTGACCACGAATATAACAGTAATTTTTGTAACTGAATTTTTCTCCTCATCCTTTGCTTTTGTAATTTTAACTATTTATTGTTTTTACAACCACTTTCACCAATTGTGTGTGATCTTCATTTGCATCTGCATCTTTAATCAGAATGACTAGGGGCCTTCAAATCTGGATTCTATTTGAGTTAAGTTATCGAGATTAAGGCCCCAGGTTTATAACTACTAACAAGTAGCTCCCTGACCTGCAGGTGATGCTAGGAACTAATTCAATTTGAATTCTTGGAATTCAATAACAACTTGTCCACTTCATGATACAAATCACGTGAGATCTCACCGGTTAGAAGTTTATGCAAAAAAGGCGTCACTTTAGAATGACGTTCAATATTAGTACACTCCAAACATTCGGTAGTCTGTGAATTATTACAAGATTTATAGCCACGCAGATGCTGTTCCAACTCAGACATTCTATTTTTAGTACTTTGACCTCCGTTCAACTTTGAATATTGAGGAAAATTGAAATTTTTAGAATTTGTATATGCTGTCTGAACACCTATGGAGTTTGATGATGTCACAGTTTTCTTTGTTTTGTTCTGATCTTCACAAAAATCACTGTCACTTGATGAGCTGATATCGTCGTGAGCACTAGCCGGAGAAAGGCAAATTTTTCCAACTTGCGTACTGGAAACAGTCGGTGATTGTAAGCCCCCTTGTCTCGAAGCATGACAACAATTCCAAGATGGTGGATTATTGTCAGTTGTCTTGTTCGTATTAATGTTGCCTTTACAACATGAAGTCATGTGATTGTTTGAATTATTTAGAGATTGCTGATTGGTGGAAGTTATATTAATGTCTTGATTTTGATTGGATGGGAGTTGATACGATTTAGAGTAGCTGTCAATATTTAATACATCTGTGAAGTAATTTTGGTAGCTTTCTGTGTTCGGGGATCTTGGGTCTTCTACAGAATCTGGGATTAGTAAATCCTCAGGGCTGGATAACAAGTCTTGTTCAAATTCAGCGAGTAAGGCTTGAGTTTGATCTTCAGCTAATCCGTCACAATACTGTATATGGAGATCCAATAAATCATCTGGAAGTTCCACTTCGTGCGAATCATTGTCCAAGAATCTTTCATTCTTAGCAGAATCATTCACATTTACACCATTTTCCAAATTTTTCAAGAAAGCAAAATCCGATAAAGTTTTCACATTAATAGTCTGATAAACTGGTCTTGCTAAACCTTGACAACTGTGTCCATGACTACAAAATGTCTTTTTATATGGATCAGTTCTTTGAACAAAACGTGGTTGAGAGTTCATGACCTTTCGTGAAGTTAGATGGGCATTTTTCATGGAAATGGGAACCGTTTTCTTACATGTGGGAATATTCAAGGTTGCATTGCCCTCTAGCACAGCACTGAGCAAACTTTGATTGGATGAAACACAGGAAGTGGAGGTAGTGTAAAAACTAGATTTGGATTTACATTGAGCATTTTGATTCAGTGGAATGGATGAAGCTATTGGGGATGGACTGGATGTGGTTTTGGTTTTCAGAGGGGGTGGACTTTCACGATGGAGTAGGGATCGTAAGAGTGACCCAGATGAAAGATTTTGTTGGCAAGAGTCTGAATTCTTGGAAGGTAAAGGTCTTTCTTGCAAATTTTTAAATGGCACTGGCAATAACTGGCAAGATTTCTGCACTGGATTCTTTGGATTAAAAGTTTTATCAGTAATCTTTGGTGAAAAATTTGCATTTGTCACAATTTTGTTAGGAGAGGACATGCTCTGTCCATTTCGACCCTGGATACCATCAACTGTGTAAGGTAATTTTGAGAAGTGACCTGCTTCTATTGGCCTACTTCCTCCAGGAGAGGTCCCAACTGGGCTGGATAAACTTGTGGAAGGAAAATGATTAATGTTTTCCAGTAAATCATCTAAAATACCAAAATCATTATCAATGTCAATAGTAATAGATGATTCAGATTCCACTGGTGATGATTCTGTAGTCATCAAGATGTTGGATTCTTTACTCAATGGACACAACAGTGGATCTGAATTCTGTGTCAGGCTAGCTACGGAGGTAACCTTGACCTTCTCAATGGGAAGTAATGAAGAAGGTACTTCCAAATCCAAATCAAATAAATCATCTTCATCATCCTCTTCCATATTTAAGGTGGAATTATTTTCATCCATGATGTCTATTCCTGGATTCAGCATACTTTCTGTGACTGATGTCATGGTAACAGTAGGAGAACACCCTGGATATGAGGATGACTGAACATTTGACCAATCAGATATAGTCTTTTCTGTTGTCATGACTGAACTGCCTTGTGGTTTGCTTGTAACAGCGTTTGGTTGTACTACATTTATGATTGAATTAGATGATGGTTCATTCGTAGATGAATTTGCTTGTTGGCTTACTCCTGAGGAGACTGAGTTTGGTTGTATATCACTATTTTCAGTGTGGAAAGAATTTGACTGTATTTCAGTTGTGGCTGAGTTTGGTTGTATCTCAGTCTGACTCTGGGTTTGATCAGTTTGTGGTTTATTGTCTGCCTCTGTGATCGGTACAGGCTTAGTTGGGGTTGAGGTCAAGTCAATACAGCCATGTATTTGTGGATCAGGAATGCCATTTTGTTCTTCTTCATATTTCAAATATTTTTCACCGTCTTCCTTGCTGAAATGGACAGAAAGTTTTGTTAATGGATGCTTACACCACCTTACCTGCTCACTATTTTTATCCTGCATACTAAACACTGTATGATCAAATTTTGCAATTTATTTAAGAGACACGAGTCGTGATACATTTTAAGACATTTGCATACCAACTGATATCAGATTCAATGTAACCAAGGAAATGATGTCATAAGATTCCATACTCTTACAGACAGAGCAACAGTCTGTCTTTAATTAAGCTTCTGAAGATCTTGTATGGTTCTTGATCAAACCTCTGATCAAATAGCTGATCTAACCTAATTGGGTAGCTGTTTTTGAATCGTTCCTATCCATTTATATAATTTTATGTCAAAGACAAAGATAAATTCTCACCTGATGATGTAATTCATGCAGACAACATATTTCCCTTTATTTTCTGCGTCATAAATAATGGTAGCCTGAGTCTGCATCCAGACCCAATCACCACTTTTTCCCAGAAACCTGTAGTATTTACTGGTAGAAGCACCTTTGGCCAATACTGAAATACAACAAAGTTTTAAAAGTTTATAATGGGTCCTAAGCTAAATTTTAAATACTATTTCATGGTATAGTTATGGTATATTGGTTTTTTGACCATATACCAGTAGGTGTACAGGCATTTGTCCCCCCAGAAAAATAAATTGCACCCCGACTGAACACCCAAATTTCCACATATGATTTTTATACATTTTTCCCCAGAATATATGTCACCAATCAATTCTATTTTTTTAAATTTTCTGCAGAGTGAAGGAGAACCCCATCAGACCCTCCAAGGAAGATTCTATGATTGTGGAGCTCTCTATTTGCTGTCTAAGTTCTAGAAGCCTGGCACTGCCACTGCCATATACTAAGAATTGGCCAAGCATACAGGTGTCAAATGAACATTTTCCGAGGTTTCATGGTAAAAGTTATAGAAGCTTGAATGATAAGATTTAACATTAAACAAGTTTGTTTTGTTTGGGTCAAATCATGATACTTATTAAATAGAGAACTGGTAGTCTCCCTTTTTATAAAACAACAACATTATTCAAATCTTAATAAATGCCAAGATGCTATGCAAAAAACCTGAGCCATTCATACTTACAATTAGAATGGCAGCTGCTGATTTTTTTGACATCCAATGGATTATGGAACTGATAACAGGTTTTACCAATCAAATCTGTTGGCTCATAACCAATCAGGGTTACAATTCTGAAAAATATCAGCATTTTTGCTTGTTAAGAACTATCCACTATATAAAATCATAGCCTTTCAAAATAGAAAAATAGAGATTTTCTAAACTTTTCATGTGTATCAAGAAGACTGAAAACATTGATTTGCAATATTCAAATCATAAGTCAGAAGTATGTGTTTCTTGCAATTCCACTAAAACTAAAAGTTATTATTTTCTTTTGTAATTTTTATAATATAATTACAGGAACAACAGAGATATGAATGTAATCTCTTTATTACCACTCAACTCCCTAAATTTCAAATTTCTGCACATACATACCTTTTTTCACAGTAGATATAGGTCATATCCATATTATGGCGGCTCATAAACATCTGGCCTTCCATTCTAACTTCTAATATAGCTGAAGACTGAACAGGACAACAGATACACATCAATCCCTCGGTTGAATAACCTTTCGCTTTCTTCGATGGTCGTACTTTCACTTTACCAGACCACTTAGTCATCTGAAAATTTCATGTTAATTTAAGTTTTTGAACAGCATGTGAAAAAATTCCCCACTGTGATTATTAGATATGCTGACTATCTACAATAAACAACTCAAATATCAAATAGAAATCAAGCTTTGGAGGCTATTGGACATTTTTCAAAAAATCAAATGGCTTACCACTAAGGAATTATTCCTCAAAATTTTATCTTCAACTTTCCTGGTATTAGTTTTCATTTCAATACAGAAATTACGACTGTGAACTGTGGATAGAATTTCTGCAATATAAATAAATATAATACTTTAATTTGAATATTCATAACTCAAAGGGACATCCTCCTTTTCTATATACACGAGCACCTGAAATAATGTGCCTGTCGGGACCACTTATTAGTGACATAATTCGTAATACACAGAATGTCGTAGTACTCAGACATAAGAAGGAAATCAATCGGAAGTATTCAGACGTCAGATATCACAGTGTATAGACAACTATACATATCATCAATATCAAATTTAAATTTCCATCCCAATATTTTCATATTTTGTTTCATAGAATATTACCTTTTCATATTCTGTTGTATAGTTATGACACCTGACCATGTATTCTCAAAACAATCTTAGCACTAGGATGTCCTGGAATCAATGTTAGAAGATAAGAACCTAGGACATTCTAGCTCTAAGATCGTTTCGAGAATACCTGGTCAGATAAGTCCACTGATGAATATATACTATACTCTTACTGACCATCTTGGAGAATATAATTTTCATATATTCAATCTAAGAGGTAGTATTTTTTTGAAGAATATAAACATTACTCACCTGAAGGATCTTGATGGAGATGACATGATTTATGTGTTCGAACTTTAAGATGATTATGAATCTCATGATAGTAAGCAGGGGAGATAAATTCTGTTATAGAATGACTTATCATGTCCTCCTGAAAAATACAGAAATGGCATATTATTTCAGAATTTACTGCGGTATTAAAGATAGTGGACCACAGCCATATACGCCCACCATGGCATGAGGATGGTAAATATTCAAGATTTTGAGGCAAGGGCAATAACTCTGCTTCTAACGGTCGAAAATAGCTCACATTCGAACTTGATCTTAGTTTTATCAATATGTATACACATACCGAATTTAGTTTTTAGAGCGTTTACAAGCAAATGTTGACGGACGGACAGGGGTGCCGACAATATACGTCCATATAGAGAGATGTGGGCGTACAAAAACATAGATAATCAAAACTGACAAAATGCACCCTGATCCAGCTAGTTTTGAAAATTGAAATTAAGCTTGCCTATATTGGAGAGTTAAAGGGATTATAAAGAAGTTTTCTAAACATTTTATGCGTATCAGGAAAATTTTCCCATAGAAGTTTAGTGAATCTCTTAAAAATCCCTTTAACCTCCATTTCCTAAAAGTAGCTGTCCTGATGAGAGTTGTCTATCTAAAACATATCTCAATAACCAACCTGTGAATAGCCCAGGTGTTCTTCTACATTCTCTGATACAAACATAATCGTTCCTTTTTTAGTGAGAAACAACAGAAATCCACCATATGCTTGCAGCATTAAATTATTGTTGAACAAACTTGCTGGTGATTCCGGGATTGTTTTGATGGATTCAACTGTAAACACATAAGATTCATTAGAAAGACTTGAGAGAGGGGTCACAATAAGCATGTATCTGCAATCTTACTTTAATTAATATAAACAATTGGTGATTTACTGATATTGCTTGGCTTTTAGGCACATTCGGTCTGAAGCACTGTACATTCTGGAAACTTAGAGGAAAACTTATAAGTGGGAAGTTTTATTTAGGAAGATATTCTCAGTAATGACACTAAAAATTTGAAGCTCCTATATACCTATAAATTTCCTCTTTGCACTTTTTGTATGTAGAACACAAAGCCTTGCAGTAGTGGCTTAAAGATAAAAGATCATGGACATAAAAGATGCTGGACATTTGTTATCAGCAAAGTAAAGACAAGAACAACTCTACCTTCTAAATCTGAAGATTCTTGTGAGATCAAAGCTTCATCTTCCCTCCCTTCATCACCTGAACACATATCTACAAAATAGATAGAATAAACTATATACATATTGCTGCAACCTATCAAAATAAAATGTATATTGTTTGAAATTACCATCCTTTAAGGGAATGTGATGAAAATTTCATAAAATTGTGATTAAACAGTCTATATATGACTCTAAAAAGCAGAGAATATATTCAAAATACTAAAAGTGTATAAGCTATGATCTTTGTATTGAAATATCAATGTTTATGGATTTGTGAATTGTACACATTGTTTCATGTTTATGTAGTATTTTGATGGTTTTTGGTTTGATGTAATTTTGCTTTGGACCTGTTGGTATGTCTCTTAACAAGTAAATGTAATACAGAGTAGTTGTAAAGAAACTACTATAGACCTGTGCATTGTATTCACAATTCATTCATTCATTCATTCATAATCCATCTACCCTTCCATCAAATTAAACTAATAAGAACTGTTAAATCAGAAAACTTAAATCAATATGCACGTCCTCCCTCCATTCATTCATTCATTCATTCATTCACCTATAATTCTCAAGTAGATTGTATATACAATCAAGTGCTCCGGTTTGCGGTTCTGCACGACTTTAACTGAAATCAACCTTTTTCTGTTTATTACCCGTCTTCTCATTATAAATCCTGACTTACTCTTAGTTTCACTATGAAATCTTTTTCATTATAATTGTTTACAAATTATGTTAGGCTACAAAGCGCCCTCATTTCCCGTCAAAAATTTGAAAATCACCCGCCCAAGTAGAAAGCTCCTACCTTAATTGAGTGATTACAATCCACAAAATAGTTAAATCATAGAAATCTTAAATCAATATGCAAGAATTCTATTTTCATTCATCCCCAGCCTTTAATCAAATCAATCTAACCTGCAGAGACTCCAGTATATTAACCTTACTTGTATGTTACACAATAAAATATATTTCTCCAGACGATTTAAAATCAATATTTCATTCACTAACTTCCGAACTAGATATGATGAAATAAATTTACGAGTCCACATATCGGAGGTTAGGACTTTTTAATTTAATTGTGTTTTTTTTCTAGAGTTTTGAACCCCAAAACACCTTGATAATGTGATGAAGATTATGGTTTAGAAACACGTCAAATATTAAATCCTAGCAGTGACACCGCAAGCCTCCTAGAGCTGAGGGTATAAATAGGGGGCAGACTGACATTATGGGGGGACAACTGTCAAAGTTACGCTGTGGAAGGGTCATCGTAAGTTCCACTGGAGGGTCTACAGTGGTGCCCACCCCCTTCTCCCTCAACTTTTAACAATAGAATTGTCAAAGTTGAACGTTCACTTCAATTTATAACAATGGAACTGATGGATTTTATGCATTCTGCAAATGTATCTGCAAGTTTTGATGGAATGAAACAATCAAAGCTATCTTAATTTTCTGAGGAACTTTAACTTGAGAAGATGTAATTTTATAAGCTTATTTAATACTAGATAATAATATAAGGAAAGAGAACTGTGTTTTCTCTCTTGTATTTCTGACTCTGATATAATCTTAATTTAATTTGGCGGTAAAAAGACAATAAACAGATGTTATCATTATTCTCACCAGAAAACATAACTACCAGGTATGTATTATACAATCATATCATATACAAACTACAGATATTCTGATTTCCTTTTCGATATACATCATATATTATACACAGATTGATTCAAAAAATAACTTCTACTTTTCTTCCTCTGTCCAGCTGTCAATGGGTAATAAATAAGTCATTTTTCCTCATTATTCCAGTCAACCCATCTGTAAATGGGAATTATATACCAGTAAGTCATCTGCTCTCATTATTCCAGTTAACTCTGTTTTAAGTGAGAGAAGGTAATCTGGTAATTTCCCGTGGAAACTATCTTATGACCTTGACTAAATTCTTTTTATTTAATTTTCAAGTCTACCAGCTGTCAATAGGCATAGATAATTTGGGAAAGGGTCGTCACCAAGAGATATAACCCATCTAACTGAACAAGGGATACTTATCAAGTCATTTTCCTCTTTACTCCGTTTTACCCAGCTGTAAGTGGGTCTAGATAATCTGAGAAAGACCATGACCAGTAGAAGACAGAGAACCTTGAGATTGTAATAGATATGCTCCTTCCTTTTTCTAGAAACAAATTTGATGGATGTGTTTCCTTCATATGATAGTAAGTAATCTAAGACTCTGTGAATAAACCAGATTACTCTTAGAGAAATAATGCAGACCTTCTTAACATAAACACCGAAACGGGAATAACACCTGAATTTAAATGGCAGAGAACAGAAAGAATCAAAACAGCAGTATAGAAAACTCTATTGAGCTGATTAAATCAATAAGTATTCCATAATAACATCTGTGATTTCACATATAGACAAGGGCAACAACTCTTGTAATGTAAATTTGAGACAAAATGATCGAATAGAAGAAAAGGATGGTATTTTGAGCAATTTCCAAGATATATAACCCTTCATATGGTTAAGAGAAACAGAAAAAACAAATGAAAGAAACATGGATGTATCTAACTCAGAAAATAACCAGAAAACACCAGACCTACGATTTCAACACTAAGTTTATATCTTAATTTCTTTTTTTCTTCATGTTGTTCATCACAATTTCAACAACTTTTTTTCAAGGTGGTCTATAATAAATACAACCTATTTCATATAAATAAACCTGATTTTAAAGAAATTATTTTAATTTCTGGTCTTTTTGATGTTCCTGGATACCCTGACACAATTTTAAACATCTTCTTTTGATCAAAATGTTCCATAATCAATAAAACCTAATTCATTTAACACAGACTCTTTCTTTAGAAATCATTTCAATTTCAGGTATTTAAGTTGTTCCTCAAAATTTTAAAAATCTCTTGATCAAGGTGGTCTATTACAAATGTATCATAGAATATGATGCATATAACACAGAATATTTCTTTAGTTTTCATTTAAATATCTCTTCTTTTTGTTGTTTCTCACAATTTCAACATCTTTAGGTGAAAATGTTTCATAATTCAAATCTAATTCATATAACACAGATTGATTCTACAGATTTCATTATAATTTCTATTCAGTTGAGGCTTTTCCTCGAAATCCCATCATCATTGCAAATGTGAGCAGCAATAAATCTAATGCAAAAACAGTGACAAATGAATGCACATTTGAAGCTCAGAATTGCCATTTTTAAAGATAGGTAATACAGTTATAAATCTACACCCCATAGTATTTGGCTCACTTTAAAAGCACATTTTCGATTTAACTATCTGGTAAATGCATTATGTAAAGATATTATTCTTAGATTATATCTGCATTGCACTTTTTTTATTTTCACATTTGTAGAATATGCAGGTATTGCAATGAAGGTTGTGTCTGATAAGCATTTTACATCTTGTTTACCCTTGATAGAAAACTAGGTTACTAATACATAAACATATGAAATAAAAAGTGATTTTTATGTAATGAAAAAAAGCACCTTATGATCTGTCTTAACAGAACATTGACTAAATCTTTCATACTTTCAATCTAAATCTATTTTTATTTGTGCTTGACTGAGTTTAGTTATTTTGATTAGTTATATTGGGAGTGTGAATATAATTGAAAAAAAGCTCGTACTCTGCATAAACCTTGCTATCTTAGATACACTGGGATGAAAGCACTTTCTACTTCTACAAAACTTGTTTCCTTCATCTGAAACCTGGTTTTGTCTCTCTTTTCCAAATTGAATGATATAGGACTCAAAAAGAACATGCCATCCACTTTGAAAAAGGCCCTTAACTCTTTCATGTGAAATCTCATTTCGTCCCTTCATTTCATTTTGAATGCATTATCGAGTAAATTGTGGTTTTGATAGAGTTTAATCTATATTAAATAATTTGAATAACAATTTATCACAACATATTTTAGTTTGGCTTAATTAAGTTAAATTTTGATTCAGATTTTTAAAAAATTCAGTAGCAATTTAAAATGTTTCATTAGTAACCATTAAATATACAATTTGATTCGTAGATCGTTGTGATAAATTTTAATTTTGGCTGATCATAAGAAATATGTTGCTTTCTTCATGTTGTACAATGTACCTTTAATGTATGTAAAGTGCATAATCAACATTTTTAGTTATAATCTGCTATAACAATCTATGCAATTACCTTCACCAACCTTGACAGAAAGTACGCTGAACTTGTAATGACTGATTCTGTCATCATCATACATTCGTGAAAAAAGAACGAAAAGTGTGTCATTTCTTTTTTATGTTAAACTTGAAAGAAGTATGCCAATTCTTGACAAAACATCTTGCATAATATATAATATACATACGTCATGATATCTTTCTTGTCTTATAAGAAAAATTGTGATTTATGTTTTTGGTAACCTTGGCTGAAAGTATGCCATTTCTTTTTTATTGTGTATAGAAATATGCCAATTCTAAAAAGAAATTCCTCATGTTTAAATTGTGTGTCATTTTACCTGAAGGTTTACATAGGATTCACTTTCATTTGTCACTTGGATTTTCGTTTGATACCTTGATTCTCGTCCAGTTCACTTCATGTACAATGAACATGTCCATTTCTCAAATCATGTATACCATTCGTGAGCTCATTCAAGAAATGAAGTGAACCAATTGAAATTATAAAATGAACGCCTATGTAAGCAGTCCATTGAAAACACATGGTTAATTCCTTTGGTCATGAATAACTTGTGAAACGTGACACGTGAAAAATGAATCTTTAATTCCTATGCAACATCTCCCTTATAAGCAACAATGTAATTTAGATTTTAGGTAACCTTGGCTGAAAGTATGCCATCTTTTTTAGAGTGTGAAGAATTATGCCAATTCTTACATACTACTTCATCTTTCCACACCATGATATCATCACCGTATCTTATACGCAAAAATGTAATGTATATTTTAGCTGTCTGAAAGTATGCCATCTTTTTTAGAGTGTGAAGAATTATGCCAATTCTTACAAGAAACTTACATACTACTTCATCTTTCCACACCATGATATCATCACTGTATCTTATACGCAAAAAATGTAATGTATATTTTAGCTGTCTGAAAGTATGCCATTTCTTTTTTAGAGTGTGCACGCAGTATGCCAATTCTTAAAAGAAATTCTTACATAAGTTAAATGAGAAAATGAGAGCAGTTAATGAGGTGATGTTAAATGATAATGATGATGAATATCAAGTTACCACATTAATTCCTTCTTTTATATATATGTTGTATAAAGTGGAGACCAATTCATCGGCTTATTTCCCGTGCTCATTAAAGCACGCGGATAAGATTGTCTTATTTCAAGTTTTAGAACTACAAAAACTGTACGAAAATCACACAATCCCTTCAAATAGATAAGACAAGACCTCAAACAAAAAATTTAAACTTTCATTTATTTCGCTCACAAGCTTATCCTCTCTCTGAAATTTGGGGAATACGAAAGTCAACCATCTTGTTGATGTAGTCTCAGTCTCCAAGACATCTTCTGTTGCAGTTGTGTGTAGACAAAGAGGGACAGAGTGACCAAGTCTACTGTATAATTATGGCGTCATGTACAAATATTCAAAATTCTCTTTAAATAACTTTCAAACATAGATAATTATGGATGAACTTGGATTTGATGGCTCAAATTTTGACAGTAAGCTAAACATTATTACTGATTAGTTTAGCAGAACAATTCTTTTTTCTGAGACTAAGGTACAAGTTACTCTACACCTGTCCCTTTAACAAAAGGGGTCAAAAATCTCTGACACAGTCAACAATTGTACACATATATATAGTATTTCTCATCAATACAAAATAAAATTATTTCCAAATTATAAGAAATATAATAAATTTCCAGTCAGTCCGAACTCTGATAAACTATCTTTGATTTCGCCCACGTGTAATTTTCAGACTGAAGAAAAATTAATCTGCCTGAATGAATTGATCAAGATCTGTATAGTTGATAAATTAAGGAAGTTTCCATCCTCTTGATCTCTCAGACTTTTATAGACAATCAGACGACTTATTATTAACTAAACTACTAAAATATAACTTCTTCATTAGCTAAACTTACAAAAATATAACTATTATAAGCGAAACCAACAAATATACGACTTCCTATTACCTTAATTGACCAAAATAATCTATATCAGTCATCCATCTTTGTTTTCTGTTAACCACTGATAATCTTGAAGGTGTGATTCCATTTATTTCAGCATTAGTCTCATAATAAACTTGGAAATTTAATAGTTATTGGATGATTGCTGTTGTAGGTCCTTGGATAATTTCTTTCGTTCAGACAATCAGTAATTTTGTCTCTCTAAGTGCTTTAATGATAGCATTCAACAATTAAAAATACGAATCTGATTGGTTTTGCTGGTATCTTAACAATTTGATCAAATCTTTCATAGCAAGCATACAATTATAACTTATGAAAGCCTTAGCATTACATTCATAATTATAAGGTATATCACCATGCATGTAACGACAGTGGCAGAGCCGCAGAGTGGGCAGCCGCACCCCCTCACAGCCCAGAAAACAAGTTTGTCGTAGCAAAAATCTCTAACTAGGTTAGAAATTCGGGCAATCTCTGATATTTCACCCCCCACTCGGACGTAAAACTGTGTAACAATAATGTTTATTGGCTGTTACTAACAATATCAACTGCAATGATGTAACTATAAATATGTTGGCACTGTTATACTTTGATTGTTATAAAATATGTCTATAATGGAATCAACATTTGCAACAATTAACAATTACTTTCTTTAAATAGAAATGTTGCTTTTTCTAATAAAAAATAATTTTTCAAGTTCACCTTTGCAAAACAGCTTTACTAATAAGTAAGTAAGTTACTATTTCTCAAAAAAATTTGGACCATGTCAAACTGTCTTTAATCTTAAAAAGATTGTAAAGAGGTTTCATAAAGTTTTTGTGGTTCTTGTAATTTCACTTAAACTTAGCGTTTAATGACTTCATTAGCAGCTTAGATTAACGGTGCAAATCAATGCTATCAGTGTCACTGATACACAAAAAAGTTTACAAACCTCTTTACAATCCATTTAATATCTAAAATAGTGCTGTACAGCCAACTTCACTTAAAAAATACATATTAAGCACCAACAAAATATAACAAGGAATAATATAGAAGCTTATTTGAGTATTTTGTTGCATGATATTTTGATCTTAGCTCATGGATGACAGAAAAATGAAAGGTTTCATTCTATTCTAAGAGTGAGTCGTGTTCAAGAAGAATAATTTAAATTCTCTTGAGCCCGATTTCTAATTTTCAACTCCGAGAATCATAAACAGTTTTTGCTTTCACAAATCAATAGTTAAGAGACAAAATCACATCTTCCAAGGACACACATTAATCCGATGTTTTCATCAATTTTCTGTTTTTTTTTTTTTTAACAGATTAACTCTTTTATTCAAGACTGAAGGAATCATTCAATGGCTACTAAATAAATCTAAAACCATCCAATTAAAGACTAAGTAAATGGAAAATAGAAGATAACAATGCAGTAGCGACATACATGTGTACAGGTCAGGAAAAAAACTCTAGAGATTTGCCTTGAAAACTCTGGAGATTGGGTGAAAAGTTGGAGATTTTTCCAAAGTGCGTAAAGTCGTGAATTTGAAACTCCAAATTAATTCTGGTTTTTTTTTTAAATAAGCCGTAAGCCTTGTAAATTAATGGTATCTGAGGAATGACATCAGAGAATCCAAGCCTTGATCTTCCAGAATAAATGAAAGGAAATTGGTTAGTCTCCTTCTGATGTTCAATCAACTCACTCTTTTCCAAGTGTTTCTAATGAACATACTGGCATCACATTTCTTGTAAGCTTCTTTTTGTTGTTGTCTGTGTCAGATATGGGAGTCTTGTCAAGTTGTTTGTGACAATGGTTCATGTAAGCAGTAATGGTGGAGGCCATGTTGGCATTAGGATTGACCTGAATTGACCCTGCATGTGTTGCAAAACATTGCCTTGTGAGTTAACACGTTACAAGAATTGTAACTAAATGGAAAGAAACTTGACCAGAACATTATCGAAAATTTATATCTTAATTCTTAAACCCTGATATAGATTGCATTAAATGAAGATTTTGTGAAAGCCAGATGTAAAATGTGTAAAAAACCTGATGAAATCTAGAGTTATAAAGCTATAAATGGAACTATAATCTCAATATTTTTTGCAGATCATGTTCTGATAATGATTGCTTAGAGCCAAACATGCAGTTAGTTAAAATATAAACATGCAGGGAATATCTATTAGAGCTTATTTCTCTATTTCATGACCTTCCCTTGATGCCTGAGGCCAATTTTTCACTTAGTTAACATGAATGCAACAAATAAATTATTTTAAAGCTAATCCTCACTATTTCTCTATTACTTGACCTTCCTTGAATGACCTTAGCACAGCTTCAGGCCTTTAAATCATAAATGTAGGGAACATGTTGAGAGCTAAATCTGCTTATTTCTGAATGTGGAATGCCTTAAACCATGTCTTACATTGCAGCTAATTAATGCACTATAGCAAAATATTATATCAAAAGATACATCTGAATATCCAACCCTCCTATATTTGTACGAATGTTAAATGGATTGTAAAGAGGATTTCTAACTTTGTTATCGGGGACACTGATAGCATCGATTTGCAATTTCACTTAAACTAAGTGTATTATGACGTTACAACCTTAAGCAAATGACAACATTAATGTTATGTCATATTATGTCAACTCAAAACAACCACTTCACTTGCCACTGGGGTATATGTCATATAATAATGTGGCAAATTGTGCTGAAAGGGTTAAATTTATGGATATTTCTGATCATCAAGTGTGATACTGAATGCTTCAACAGCTGCTTGGGTATCTGTCAAATAATAATGTGGCAAATAGCGCTAAAAGGGTTAAATTCATGGATTTTGGTGCAGATAACTGCCAGATACGAAATGCATTAACTCAATCCTGGTATAGTTAGATCATGAAAGCAGTGAACTGAGGTTTATCCCACAGTGACATAAAAGCTATGATATCATTCCATTGTACTGCCTATAACCCACGTCTAGTATCATGAGGTTAATCGTGAAGCTTTTAACAATATTTATGTAAACTCTAGTGTTATACAAATTGAAATCAGATAATTCCTGAGAGCTTACTACAGTCCAATTTCGTGCCTTTAACCTCATCTCAATCATAAGCAAATCAAAGCAATAAGTTTACTAGAGCTTTGTGATCATGCACACATAAGTGTTTCATAACTGTACAGGCTATATACCTGTTTGAGGGCAATCTAATTTTCCAGAAAATTTAGAAGGGCAAAGCAAGACGCCCGAGCACCGAAGGCACAAGTCTGCCAGAGGTTTTTTCCGTTGCTGCCTGAAAAGGATAATATTTGGGTCACCTTCGCTTATGAAGTGTTTCCAAGATTAAAAGTACTTTGTTGCTTGTATTTGACAGCCCCAAACTAATCCTTTAATGTGAGCTATTTGAAATTAGTAATAAGTGACATAAAAGACTTCAATCCTGTAATTCTAAGAAGTTTAATGCATAAGTTCAACTGAATTAAACAGCCTCAAATGTAAATCTCAGAGCTTCAAATCAATCCCAACATCAGAGCTATGTTTTGAAAGGAATAAACCTGTGGTTTATCCAAGAATTAAAGTAGGCTATAGCTAAAACCTTATAGCATGACAATCAGTTGGTTGGTCAATAGAATAAAAAAAGCTGACTCTAGCACTAATAGAAAATCAATAGAAGTTGAGAATTACTGGGAGTAAATGTGATTAAAAGAGAAGGCTATTCCTCCCCCAGGTTCACTGAAAACCATTAAATATGTTCATGATAGCGTTAGAAACATGTAATTTAGACTCTTAACACAACACCTACAAATTATTGAGTGTTTTAAAGAATCTTTCTCATGTACCAGCTTATATTGCCACACACCTTTGTCATAATACATGAATTGAGAGAGCACCTCACATCATCACAAGCTGTGGATGAAACAAATTTTTGGGGTT